TGTGTTCGTGAAGCAAACGTTTTCCCAAAAAATGCTTGTTACCCTAAAAATAAAAAAAAAATTCTGTGTAATTCTAAAAAACATAGCATATTATATGCTTCACATGTCAAAACAAATACTTCAAAAATAGTGAAAAATTAATAAACAAAATAAAACGTGAAAAATCGGTCACCCCCCAATCTGGGGTAATATCATTTTTTCCCCCGATTCCTATTACCTGAGATTGGAGTGATCACGATTTCCACGTTTATTTTGTTTTTATTAATTTTTCATATTTTTGATGTGATTTGAGTTTTGCACAGGTGAACATATATATAGTCTATGTTTGAGGAATTAACTTGATTTTTTCTTTATTTTGGGATAAAAAGGAATTTTTTGGGAAATCGTTTGCTTCATGAACACTAAAAGGATTTTTTTTTGAATTTTTGGACTTTTATTTAAATTTATTCAATATTATTTTTTTGGAGATGGGGACACATTATTATTTTTTGGAGTTTTTGGACACTTTACATATTTTTATTTTATTATGTTATCTTATTGTTTTTGTTTGCTATATTGGATGATTTTGGATTTTTATATTGGAGTGGGTGGTTTACTACTATATTAGATTTGTTCATCACCTTTTGGAATTATGTGGGTTTATTGAATTTTGAGATAGATTTGGGGCTTATTGGGAAGTTTCATCACAAAAAGTATAAATAATATGTTTACATGACATGTTTAATTGTATTACATGTACATTCCCCACAGGCAGCATCAATGGTGAGCATGAACTCTATTACCAACTGCAGCCTATTTCATTGTGTTTTGTATGTTTCATACATTGATTGTATATGTACTGTATATCTCATCCTGTTTTTCCCAATAGTTTCACCCCATCCTCTTTTGTTAATATATTGCAGAATAGGAAGGATTTAGCTTCAGGGGAAACATGTTGTGAGGACAGGACAATGACTGTCATCATACAGAGTGTGGTGGTCTCAATCAATGCTCAGGGGGTTTTACAAGAGATTCCTGCATTGTGCTAGGCTGCAGTCAGATCCAATGAAACAATGGTATTATAGGCGCTGAGTCTCCAAAATATTATTATTAGTATACAGGATTTATATAGCAGTTTACACACAGCATTTACAATATAAAAGGGGAACAAAACAGTTACAATACAGTTCAATAGAGAAGAAATAGGAGGGCCGGGCTCATAGAACAATACAATCTAAAGGAAGGGGGAAGTGGTACAAAAGGTAGTAACTGCGGGTGGGTGGAGGGGTGATTAGGTTGGAGGTGGGGTGGGACTTCCCTAGAATTTATTGAGTTTTTCAAGGATCACCATAAAGGCAGACAGGGTAGGAGCTGACTGGACAAATACTGTGGCAGGGAGTTCCAGAGGATGTAAGAGGCTCTAGAGAAGTCCTGGAGGTGAGTGTGGGAGGGCGGGGTAACAAGGATTTGGAGAGCAGAAAGATCTTGGAGGAGCAGAGAGGACGTTTTTTAGGCGATATCTGCAAGATGAGGATGGTGATGTAGCTGGGAGTGATGCTGTGGATGGCTTTGTACGTTGTGGTTAGTATTTTGACATTTTTTTACATTGGGCTAGCGAAAGCCAGTGAAGGGATTGGCAGAGAGGGGCAGCAGTCACGGATTGGTTGATAAGGTGTGTTACCCTAGCAGTAACATTTCATAATAGACTGAAAGGGGGATAGTCTGTGTAGGGATAGGCCAGTGAGGGAAGGAGTTGCAGTAGTCAATGGCCTGGAAATAATGAAGGAGTGAATACACTTTTTTTTGTAGTGTCGTTGGTCAGGAGGGGCAAATATTGGAAATGTTGCAGAGGTTAAGGCAGCAAGATTTAGTGATTGGATGTGGGGCCCGAAGGAGAACTCAGAGTCTAGGATTACACCTAGCACTCTGGCATGTGTGGAAGGACCAATGGTTGTGCTGTTGATCTCACAGGTAAAGTCATGGGAGGGGATTGTCGGGCAATTATTACAAGCCCAGTTTTGAGTAAGTGGTTACATAGTTACAAGTCTGGCTGAAAAAAAACAAAAGTCACCATCCAGTTCAACCATAGAAAAAAACAAAAAAGTTATAATCCTTTACCCACATGTTGATCCAGAGGAAGGCAAAAAACCCAGCAAAGCACGATCTAATCTGCTCCTGCAGGGGAAAAAAAATTCCTTCCTGATCCCCTCAGAGGTAATCGGAAATTCCCTGGATCCACGTTACCTATAAATGTTATATCCTATGCATGTTATAATCTGTGTATCTAAGAAAGAATCCAGAACTTTCCTACAGCAATCCACTGAACTGGCCACAACCAACTCTTGAGGGAGTCTATTCCACATTCTCACAGCTCTTACTGTGAGAAAACCTTTCCGTGTTTGGAGATTACATTATTTTTCCTCCAGACGTAAAGAGCGCCCCCTTGTCCTCTGTGATGACCTCAAGTTGAATGACTACACCGAGTTCACTATATGGAGATCATATCCCCCTTATGTATTATACACGGAGATCATATCCCCTCTTATGTATTATACATGGAGATCATATTCCCCCCTTATGTATTATACATGGAGATCATATCCCCCCTTATGTATTATACATGGAGATCATATCCCCCCCTTATGTATTATACATGGAGATCATATCCCCCCCTTATGTATTATACATGGAGATCATATCCCCCCCCTTATGTATTATACATGGTGATCATATCCCCCTTATGTATAATACATGGAGATCATATCCCCCCTTATGTATTATACATGGAGATCATATCCCCCCTTATGTATTATACATGGAGATCATATCCCCCTTATGTATTAAACATGGAGATCATATCCCCCCTTATGTATTATATCACGGAGATCATATCCCTCTCTTATGTACTTTATACATGGAGATCCAAATATCCCCCCCTTATGTATGTATACATGGAGATCATATCCCCCCTTATGGTATTATACATGGAGATCATATCCCCCTTAATGTATTACACATGGAGATCATATCCCCCTTTATGTATTATACATGGTGATCACATCCCCCCTTAATGTATTAGGACATGGAGATAATATCCCCCCCTTATGTATTATACATGGAGATTCTTATCCCCCCCTTATGTATTATACATGGAGATCATATCCCCCTTATGTATTATACATGGAGATCATTATCCCCCTTATGTATTATACATGGAGATCATATCCCCTCTTATGTATTATACATGGAGATCATATCCCCTTTTATGTATTATACATGGAGATCATATCCCCCCCTTAATGTATTATACATGGAGAGCTCATATCCCTCCTTATATATTGTTACATGGGAGATCATATCCCCCCCTTATGTATTATACATGGAGATCATATCCCCCCCTTATGTATTATACATGGAGATCATATCCCCCTTATGTATTATACATGGAGATCATATCCCCCCTTATGTATTATACATGGAGATCATATCCCCCCTTATGTATTATACATGGGATCATATCCCCCCTTATGTATTATACATGGAGATCATATCCCCCTTAGTATGTATACATGGAGATCATATACCCCCTTATGTATTTATACACTGGTTGATCATATCCCCCCTTATGTATTATACATGGTGATCATATCCCCCCTTATGTATTATACATGGAGATCATATCCCCCTTTATGTATTATACATGGAGATCATATCCCCCCCTTATGTATTATATATGGAGATCATATCCCCCCTTATGTATTATTCATGGAGATCATATCCCCCCTTATGTATTATACATGGAGATCATATCCCCCCTTATGTATTATACATGGAGATCATATCCCTCTTATGTATTATACATGGAGATCATATCCCCCCTTATGTATTATACATGGAGATCATATCCCCCCTTATGTATTATACACGCGGAGATCATCATATCCCCCTTATGTATTATACATGGAGATCATATCCCCCCTTATGTATTATACATGGAGATCATATCCCCCCTTATGTATTATACATGGAGATCATATCCCCCCTTATGTATTATACATTGGAGATCATATCCCCCCTTATGTATTATATATGGAGATCATCCCCCCCTTATGTATTATACATGGAGATCATATCCCCCCCTTATGTATTACCGTCCGACATGGAGATCATATCCCCCTTATGTATTATACATGGAGGTCATATCCCCCCTTATGTATTATACAGGGAGATCATATCCCCCCTTATGTATTATACATGGAGATCATATCCCCCCTTATGTATTATACATGGAGATTTATCCCCGTTTAATCTCCTCTTCTCCCTAGAGAATAAATTCAGTTCCTCTAATCTTTCCTTATAGCTGATCTCCTCCATGCCTTGTATCAGTTTGGTTGCCCTTCTCTGTACTTTCTCCAGTTCCCCAATGTTCTTTTTGTGAATTGGTGCCCAAAACTGAACTGCATATTCCAGATGAGGTATTACTAATGATTTGTATGGGGGGAGGAGGGTAATATGATATATCTCTCTCTCTGCAGTTTATACCTATTTTAATACAATTCCCCCAGTTGTACCCCCCCCCCTAGTATGTATGATGCATATTCTTAGCCCCCAAGTGCAGAACCTTACATTTATCACCATTAACCCTCATTGGCCCCATAGCGCCCCCCAATCACACAGAGCATTGAGGTCGGCTTGTAAGTTGGAGACATCCTGTAAGGACGTTATTCCCGGCACAGCTTGGCGTCATCTGCAAAGACTGAAATGGGATTTATAATCTCACACCCCATATTGTTTATAAATATATTAAAAAGTAAGGGTCCCAACACCGAACCTTGGGGTAACCCCTGAACTACCCCACTAAACCCTGAACCTTGGGGTACCCCACTAATAACACTGCACCTTGGGGTACCCCACTAATCACACTGAACCTTGGGGTACCCCACTGATGACCTCAGAACATTCAGAGTATGAATCATTAACAACTACTTTTTGAATATGATCTTTTAACCAATTTTCTATCCATTTACATTCAGATTTTTCCAACCCGTAGACTTTACCTTACACATTAGCTGTGTGTGGGGAATTGTGTTAAAAGCTTTTGCAAAATCCAAGTATACCACGTCCACCGCCACCCCTCTGTTCGAGTATACCACGTCCACAGCCACTCCTCTGTCCACGTATACCTCATCCACAGCCACCCCTGTGTTCAAGTATACCACATCCACCGCCACCCCTCTGTCCACGTATACCTCGTCCACCGCCACCCCTCTGTTCAAGTATACCGCATCCACCGCCACCCTTCTGTCCATGTATAACTCGTCCATTGCCACCCCTCTGTCCAAGTATACCAAATCCAGTGCCACCCCTCTGTCCACGTATATCTCGTCCACCGCCACCCCTCTGTTCAAGTATACCACATCCACCCGCCACCCCTCTGTCCACGTATACCTCGTCCACAGCCGCCCCTCTGTTCAAGTATACCCCATCCACCGCCACTCCGCTGTCCACATATACCTCATCCATCGCCACCCCTCTGTCCAAGTATACCACATCCACCGCCGCCACCACTCTGTCCACGTATACCTCGTCCACCGACACCCCTCTGTCCAAGTATACCAAATCCAGTACCACCCCTCTGTCCACGTATTCCTCGTCCACTGCCACCCTTCTGTCCAAGTTTACCACATCCAGCGCCACCCATCTGTCCACGTATATCTATCCACCGTCACCCCTCTGTTCAAGTATACCACATCCACCGCCACCCCTCTATCCACGTATACCTCGTCCACCGCCACCCCTCTGTCCAAGTATACCACATCCACCGCCACCCATCTGTCCACGTATACCTCATCCACAGCCAGCCCTGTGTTCAACTATACCCCATCCACCGCCACTCCGCTGTCCACATATACCTCGCTCATCGCCACCCCTCTGTCTAAGTATACCACATCCACCACCCCCCCCCCCTCTGTCCACGTATACCTCGTCTACCGCCACCCCTCTGTTTATGTGTATCACATCCACCGCCACCCACCCCTCTGTCCACGTATACCTCGTCCATCGCCACCCCTCTGTCCAAGTATACCAAATCCAGTGCCACCCCTCTGTCCACATATACCTCGTCCACTGCCACCCTTCTGTCCAAGTATACCACATCCAGCGCCACCCATCTGTCCACGTATATATCTCATCCTCTGCGTATACCACATCCACCGCCACCCCTCTATCCACATATACCTTGTCCACCGCCACCCCTCTGTCCAAGTATACCACATCCACCACCACCCCTCTGTCCAAGTATACCTCGTCCACCGCCACTCCTCTGTCCAAGTATACCTCGTCCACCACCACCTCTCTGTCCAAGGTTTTGCTCATCCCCTCTTAAAAAGAAATCAGATTTGTTTTGACAGCTTCTGTCTTTCATGAATCCATGCTGTCTGTTGCTTACAATATTTTTTTCCAGCAAGAACTCCTCTCTGTGTCTTTTATTAAACTCTCCAGTATCTTCCCAACTATAGAGTTAAACTAACAGGTCGATAATTACTTGGTAGAGTGATGTGACATCCATACCGATATGTTGCTTAGTATATTTGTAATATTAAGCGATTAAGGGGGTGAGTTGAGAAGTAAAAATAGATCTGGGTGTCATCAGCATAGAGGTGGTATTGGAAACCATGGAAGGTTATCAACTGGCCCAGGGAAGAGGTATAGAGAGAGAAGAGGAAGGGCCCAAGGATGGAGCCTTGGGGTACCCCAACAGAAAGAGGAAGTGGTGTGGAAGAGATGGTATTGTATGTGATACTGAAAGTGCACAGAGATAAATAGGAGGCAAATCAGGAAACAGAGGAGTCACGGAGGCCAATGCAGTGGAGTTTGTTGAGGAGAACTGGGTGGTCAACTGTGTTAGAGACAGCATAAAAGTCTAAGAATTTGAGTATGGAGCACTGGTCATTGGTTTTAGCAGTTAGCAGGTCATTGGTGAGTTTTAATAGGGCATTTGCGGTGGAATGTTGTGGGCAAAATCGGACTGTAGGTGATCGAGAAGGTTGAAGTTAATATATATATAATAACTCATGTTGAGGTCCAGGTGGGGTCCAGTGAGGGTTTTTTAACTATGGATTGACCAGTGCATGTTTGAGCAGGGAGGGAAAGGTACCCAAGGAGAGGGGAGGTTAAAGATGTGGGTTACAGAGTTTAGGATGGAGCAGGAAGGTGGTCACAGTAATTTGAGGGGACAGGTGAGGGGACAGGTGGTGAGGTTGGCAGCAGAAAGGAGTTAAGCAACTTCCTCATTTGTAACAGGGTCAAAGGTGGAACGTTTTGTGGGATTTGGTGTGTTGGTGGGGGGGGGGGAAGCTGAATATCTTATCACAAATTGTGTCTATTTTGTTTTTGAAATGATTACCAATCTCTTGGGCAGTAAGCAAGTTGGTGGCTGGAGGCAGTGGGGAGTGAAGTAAGGAATTCAAGGGTAGAAAAGAGTTGACAAGGTTTGGATGAAATGTTCTGATGAGAGTGTAGGTAGTAGGTTTGTTTAGCAGTGTGCAGGCAGGAGTTTGAGAAGGGCAGATTTGTAGAGGGTGAAGTCTTGCAGGGATTTAGTTTTATGCCACCTCACTCAAGAGCACGACTGAGTCTCTTGAGACTTCTAGTGTTGTCTGCTTGTCCAGGGTTGTAGCAGGAGAGCCCGGGTTCTGGGTGTAGAAAGAGGAGAGAGTGTGTCCATGATGACAGTATGTTGTTGTAGGCAGAAGTGACCAGGTCTGGGCAGGACAGGGGAGTGATTTTATCATAAAGGCAGTCAGTAGCGGGATAAAGAAGGGAAGGGTTGAGGTGGCGAAGGTTCCTGTGGGTAACCATTTGCAAGTTGGAGGCATGGGATGTAAGAGACAGGGAGAGTGTGAAACTGATAAGGGTGTGATCAGAGAGAGGAAAAGGGATGTTAGAGGGGTTACAGGAGTGCAGAGGTGGGAGAAAATGAGGTTGAGGGTGTCAGCATTGGAGTGAGTGGTGGTTTGTGTCATTGTATTAGGTTAAAAAAAGAGGTTGGTTGAGTAGTTGAAAAGTGGCTGTAGTGTTAATATTGATTGGAATATCACCGAGGATGATGGTGGGTACTTCAGAGGTAAAATCGAGAAAGCGTGACACAGGGCTGGGAGGCCAGTAAATTACTACAATCCTCAGACAAACTAGAGAAAAAAGACAGAAGCAGTGAACAACTCGGCCTCCTTTTTGTCCACTGGGTCTGGGTGAGTCCACAGGAGGTCACCATGGGAGCAGATAGCTGGAGAGGCCATGTCAAATTCCTGGAGCCAGGTTTCAGTACTAGCAAGTAGATTGAGGGTGTTGTAGAGGAAAAGAACATTGACAGAGGACAGTTTGTTATAGACTGAGCGGGTATTCTAGAGGGAAAGCAAAAAGGAGCCTTAAGTGTCCATTTAATCATTTTTGTTAGCAAGCTTGTCTCTGTTAAAGACATTACCACAAAAACACTTCTAGTACACAGCACAATATATATATTGTTTCTACAGTCATCATAAATATTGGGACATCGACACAATTCTAACATTTTTGGCTCTTTACACCACCACAATGGATTTGAAATGAAACAAACAAGATGTGTTTTAACTGCAGACTGTCAGCTTTAATTTGAGGATATTTACATCTAAATCAGGTGAACGGTGTAGGAATTACAACAGTTTGCATATGTGCCTCCCACTTGTTAAGGGACCAAAAGTAATGGGACAGAATAATAATCATAAATCAAACTTTCACTTTTTAATACTTGGTTTCATATCCTTTGCAGTCAATTACAGCCTGAAGTGTGGAACGCATAGACATCACCAGACGCTGGGTTTCATCCCTGGTGATGCTCTGCCAGGCCTCTACTGTTCCTGCTTGTTCTTGGGGCGTTTTCCCTTCAGTTTTGTCTTCAGCAAGTGAAATGCATGCTCAATCGGATTCAGGTCAGGTGATTGACTTGGCCATTGCATAACATTCCACTTCTTTCCCTTAAAAAACTCTTTGGTTGCTTTTGCAGTCTGCTTTGGGTCATTGTCCATCTGCACTGTGAAGCGTCCAATGAGTTGTGAAGCATTTGGCTGAATATGAGCCGATAATATTCCCGAAACACTTCACAATTCATCCGGCTGCTTTTGTCAGCAGTCACATCATCAATAAATACAAGAGAAGCAGTTCCATTGGCAGCCATACATGCCCACGCCATGACACTACCACCACCATGATCACTGATGAGGTGGTATGCTTAGGATCATGAGCAGTTCCTTCTCCATACTCTTCTCTTCCCATCACTCTGGTACAAGTTGATGTCGGTCTCATCTGTCCATAGGATGTTGTTCCAGAACTGTGAAGGCTTTTTTACATGTCGTTTGGCAAACTCTAATCTGGCCTTCCTGTTTTTGAGGCTCACCAATGGTTTCCATCTTGTGGTGAACCCTCTGTATTCACTCTGGTGAAGTCTTCTCTTGATTGGTGACTTTGACACACATGCACCTACCTCCTGGAGAGTGTTCTGATCTGGCCAACGGTTGTGGAGGGTGCTTTCTTCACCAGGGAAAGAATTCTTCGGTCATCCACCACAGTTGTTTTTCCGTGGTCTTCCGGGTCTTTTGGTGTTGCTGAGCTCACCGGTGCGTTCCTTCTTTTTAAGAATGTTCCAAACAGTTGTTTTGGCCACGCCTAATGTTTTTGCTATCTCTCTGATGGGTTTGTTTTGTTTTTTCAGCCTAATGATGGCTTCACTGATAGTGACAGCTCTTTGGATCTCATCTTGAGAGTTGACAGCAACAGATTCCAAATGCAAATAGCACACTTGAAATGAACTCTGGACCTTTTATCTGCTCATTGTAATTGGGATAATGAGGGAATAACACACACCTGGCCATGGAACAGCTGAGAAGCCAATTGTCCCATTACTTTTGGTCCCTTAACAAGTGGGAGGCACATATGCAAACTGTTGTAATTCCTACACCGTTCACCTGATTGGGATGTAAATACCCTCAAATTAAAGCTAACAGTCTGCAGTTAAAACACATCTTGTTCGTTTCATTTCAAATCCATTGTGGTGGTGTATAGAGCCAAAAATGTTAGAATTATGTTGATGTCCCAATATTTATGGACCTGACTGTATATATTATATTTATTAATATGTCATAGGTAAGGCATGCAGCCAACTGGGTGTTACTATGGAGGTGATATTTTGTGGATGGCATGAAACCAATACATACATGTAGAGGAAATTGTAGAATTTGTTGGGTTTGGATGTCCAGCGCTAGAAGCTTTTATCAGAAATTCTTCAACCATTGAAAAATGTAATCTGCTTGCACACAACCCCTCCCCCCAAACTGAATGACATTGTTTGAATATTACACTTACAAATGTTTGATAACTAAATGCATTTATTCGCCTTGTTTTCAATGTTTAAATGTATTTAAATTGTATCTATTTGTTTTTCCTTAAATTTTTTTAGGAAACACATTTACATTTGAAAAGAATCCATTATATATAGTCTATGACTATTACTACTATGACTATTACTACTATTACAACTATTACTTCTATGATGTTGCTTTTCTAAGTTCCCATTTGGTAAAAAGTCCGGCTGCAGGATCCTGGACTCTGAACGCTCAGGGGAATTTATCACTTTCTGTTCAAATATTAGGATATACTGGTAAGTTCTATCATCTCGGTGTATATGAATATTTCTGACTCTGACAGGTCCTCTTCTATGACTTGTCTAATGGAGTTATTCTTGATATTTGGATAATGTTAAATTCACACCAGATTTCATGGATGTGCTAAATCCAGGACATATATAAATCTAGATTTTGGTATTTTTGGCAGTTCAGATTCCCAAATGACTTCTGGGAGCCATGTGACCTCCATTGAGCCAATCGTTTTTTGTTGTGATGCCCCTCCCAGAGACCATCTCTCCCCACTGTGGTAGAGTGAAATGGAATGAAGTAGTGATGGTCTGAACACCCCCCTGTTCATACGCAGTTGAACATTCAAATTTATCGAAAGCTCAACCGCGAACTTCGAACCGGGACAAATTACTGAGCGGTATCTTCCTGCATCTGAGTATGAGGTAAGATATCGCTCAGCTACTACAATCCGGAGGGAGTTCTATGATGAAGTCACGCGGTATTTTAGTATGAGACATTCATTCATGTTTTAGCTGTAGGTCAGGTTAACCACTGACAGCCGAATGTCAAAACAATTGCTGATATTGCCCGACGATTAAAACATTGAAAAAAAAATGGTGTGGAGTCCCCCCTCCCATCCATACAAAGCTCTTTGGTGTCTGGTATGGATTTTGAGGGGAACCCCCACACCAATTTTTTTTCTAAAATGGCGTGGGGGTCCCCTCA